GTGTGTCACGTCAGTCGGGATCGAAGCTAAGTCCCGCCTCGGGACGGGAGCCACATCGATTCTTTTAACACAAATTATCGTGATCATATTACTCGCCATTATATTCAAAACAACACTTTAAAATGCATCTTATTACAATATAGTGTTTTAGTATTTAAAGTAGTCAAAACAGAGTCTCCATCTTATTTATACGATTTACTTATAAAACGAAACCAATGTCACAGCTTATATGTAAGAAATAATCAGTATTATTCAATTCCTAGTCATAGAACCTGGAAATTTGAGAAAAGCTTTGAATATTTTGCAGTAAAGATTCTAAACAAATATCACGATATTTTTAACTCAACATACTCTGTAAATAGTTTTAAAAAAATACTCCAATCCACTTTGCTAAGGGAACAAGCTAGTCAATTTTAGTGTAGTAAAATATAAATATATTTTTTGTAAGTAGGTATGTATTTTTTACATCTACCTTGTTATTTTTTGTATTATTAAGTAGGTTTAGAATGGAAGAACAGCATCAGCTGAATTGTCGCCCTTGTATAAAATATTGTTTTTATTTATATTTTTGTGCAATAAAGATTATTATTATTATTATTATTATTTTCAATTTTTGAATTATAAACCGGATCTATAAATTGTACAGAATATAGAGTACAGATTGCAGAGTAGAAAATAAGGTTAATGCTATTATGAACCAGCCATAACGCCATTTAGTGATAAAAACATTGTGTTACCAAGTGAGTGTAAAAACAAATATTTTTATCGGTAAAATAATAAAAATATATTGTTCAACTTATATTCAAAATCAATTAATAAAAAATTTTTGTGGCATATTGAGTTATCAAATACTGAAATTTCCGGCAGCAAAGTTAAATAAAAATTATTATGATATTATTTTAGTAAAGTGTTGTGTTTACATTTGTAAATGAAAAAAAATATTGGTTAACGACTCTTGTAATGCCAAATTTATGTTCCGCGTGAAATTTCTCGCTCAATTTTTTGACAAAACTTAGTTGTTCCGCTGCAATACCGAAACTTTTTAACCAATTGGTTTAGCGAAAAATCACAGGAAACCCTTTTTGTATGGCGTTTAATTCGCTAAAAAAATTGTTGAACACATTTTCTGTACGACCTTTGGTTGGTGAGTTTGGTTTAAGTTATTTTTGGCATTTTAAATTAAACCACAAAACCTAAACTAATTCTCAAAGCCGTTTTATCCACTTTAAAGTTAACCGAGGTAGGTAATCTCTTTGTCTTCGTAGGACCTGAGAGAGACCCTATAGTGCTTACTTAAGGCCATTACAAGCCTAGGTACGACACAGCTTTACCTATATTAAAAACTGTGTTTTTTGTGAGCTCCTATAGTGCGATACTATACTATAGTATAGTATCACAGCAATGGCGCCGCCAATCTTTTTCATCTGAAAAAATATTTAATTGGATAAACGACATAATTTATTTATTTATTTCTGACCCCAAAACAGTATAGCCATACTGATATCAGGGCCTACAAAAGTTTTACAATGTAATACAGTTATGTTATGTAAGTTTTTTAAGTATAAAAATATGTTCTTTATGTATGTAGGTCTATAAATAGATATAATTAATGTAAAGAAAAATAAAAATTAAATAGTATTAAGGTATAATATCACAATTAAATAAATAGTTTTTTAGTTTTTTGCACATTATCACAGTTTATTTGTTTTTTGTAACGTCTTCAGGTAGCATATTGTATGTTTGGATACTTCTAAATACTGGAGAGTCGTGTTTTTTTTGTTCGTCTTTTTTCATTTCTATAATCATTATTTTGTCTTGTATTATATTCCTTTCCTTGTATCAGATTGATGTTCGTTTTGATGCTCTTGTTTTTGATGTTGTGAATTAGTTTAGCTTGTTCCAATTGTATTAGTTGCATAATTTGTAGTATTTTTGTTTGCTTATAGACCTCCTCTGTAGAGGTATATTTACTTAATCCATATATAGTTTTCACAGCCTTATTTTGACGAGATGCTAAATGCCACTGGCGGCTCCTCTTACTGCGCATGATCGCTTAATTGACAAATGTGCCGCGATTGAAAATGTTAAAGGCACGTTCGTTACATTATAATAATAATCCTTAGATAGCTCAGATGGTAGGGCGGTCGCTTGGCATGCGAGAGGTCCCGGGTTCGATACTAAGAAGCTGTCGAACATTTTTTATTTCATAAATTTGTTGTTTCTTTGTTAAACAGTGTTCGGTTGGGTTGGTTGGTTTGTTTTAGTTTTATCGTAACATAAAATCTACTAGAAGATGTCGAACTTTTTTTATTTCATAAATTTGTTGTTCCTTTGTTAAAAAGTGTTTTATTTTTATCGTAACATAAATTTGCCTATTTTAGTTGGGTTTTTTGCTCAATGGGGCGGGGGGGGCAATGGGGCGGTTTCGGTTGGGTTGTGTTGTTGAGTTTGGGTTGGTTTGGTTTTATGACGTAACTAACGTGCCTTTAACATTTCGAATCGCGGCACATTTGTCAATTAAGCGATCATGCGCAGTAAGAGGAGCCGCCAGTGGCATTTAGCATCTCGTTTATTTTGTACTCTTTGGAGTTTATTCAATACATATTCGGCAGCATTTTCCCAGCACGGTGTTAAATATCGTAGATGTGGCATAATAAAACTGTTGTAGAGGAGATCTCTTGCATTTTTATTTAAATATCCTGAGCATCTTCTAATTGCACCTATCATTGGAACAATTTATCTATTATGCTTTCAAGATGATTTTTCCAATTAAGATTTTCAGGTATTTAATAGTATGTGCCTGTTTTATAGAGATGTTATTAATTTTTATGTCCAGATTTATAACAGGTTTATTTTTTTGTTTTAATATCATAAATTCAGTTTTTTGTGTATTAAGACTGAGTTTGTTACTATTTAACCAGTTACAATAGGTTTTTAGGTCTTTATTTATAATATTGTTAATTTCTTTTTGGTCTGTTCCGCTGTAAACTAATGCTGTGTCATCTGCAAACATAAAGCTGCCTTTAATGCCACAGTATTTTAAATTGTGGACATATATTAAATATTCAATTGGACCTAATACAGATCCTTGGGGCACACCCACTTTTATTTCGGCCAGTTCGCTCTCTCCATTTTTTACCACTGTATACTGTTTTCGGTTTTCTGAGTAATATTTCATCAATCTCTGACCCACACCACGGATTCCCAGAACCTCAAGCTTTTTTAGAAGCAATTGAATGTTGACTGTATCAAAGGCTTTTTGTAGGTCTATAAACACAATAACTACATAAATATTCAAGTCCAACTCTGATGCAAAAGTCTCCAGCAAATACATTGTAGTGCTCAGTGTACTACTTTGAGTTTGAAAGCCATATTGGTACGAGTCAAAGCCACACGTACCACTCAAAATCAACCAGCCTTTTTTTAATCACCTTTTCCAAAATCTTCGAGAAGGTGGTTAATATGGATATGGGCCTATAATTTTGTAGTTCGTCTTGTCTACTTTTTTATGGATTGGAATTATTTTTGAAGTTTTTAATTCGTCGGGGAATATTCCAGTTTTTAAAACAGAGTTTATTAAGTTTGTAATATTTTTTCCAATCACTTCAATCCCGTTTACAATATCATTTTTTGTTATTTTGTCACAACCTGGAGCACAGTTATTTTTTATATTATATATGTTATACACAGTTGCTGGCCTTAAGAATATTGTTGGGTATTGTTCTTTTTCTGGAAATGTACTTAAGGATTTTAATTGTGTTGCAAGGTTTATTGCTACTGTTGAAAAATATTTATTAAATTCACTGCCATCTCAGTTTCATTGTAAATTTCTTCACCCTCATGGTTCCTTATCTGGTTTATTTTATTTATCTTTCCTTTGCCAGTTGAACACAAGTTGTTTAAAATTTTCCAGGTCTTTTTTCCGTCTCCATTAGCTTTTTCCAATTGTTTTTCAGTGTGTTCCTTTTTTAGTTTATGTCTGAGTTTTATTTTTATGAAATTTGTTTTTGTAAACTCATTTTGTACTTTTTTCCATCTTACATACAGCTTGCTTCTTTCCTTAATTTTTTTTAAGTATTCGGTTGTAATCCATTTGTTGTTGTTTATTATTTTAATACTAATTTCTTTGGTACTAAGTTCTTTGGCTCTATTTAATACATTTGAAAGTTCTTTAAAAGACTGTATGTCCTCAATATTTGTTTGATTTTTTATAATATTTACGTATTGTTCCTTATTCTGTTTTTTATATTTTAGAATTTGCTTTGTATTGCGTTGGAGTATCTTCTTGTAAGACATATGTATAATTTTATGGTCTGAGATCATGTGTTCTTCTAGGTGGATATTTGATATATGGTCTCCATTTGAAATAATATGATCAATGATACTTACATTTGTATTTCCAACTCTTGTAGCATAGTTTGGGTCAATATTGTTATGTACTATAAATCCATTTATTTCAATTATATTTTCATAATCCTTTGTGATGTTCATTCTTTCCAGGAGGTTTATATTCATGTCTCCAATTATTAGGCAGTTATTATTTCGGTTTTCCATCATATTATCAAAAAATGTAAGAAATTCTGTTATATTGCTTGAAGGTGGTCTGTAGATTGAGATTAATGAGCTTTTGATATCGTTTATATAAAGTTCTATAATATTGTACTCATCTGAGTTTAAAGGTGTTCGATTCATTAATTGAATATTGTCTTTTATGTAGATACTTGTACCTCCCCCTCTTGATTCTCTGCAGTTATGGATCGCTGTATATGTTGGTATATTAAAAAACTTTGTTTCATTTGAGTATAGCCAAGTTTCAGTTAATATTATTATATGTATTGTTTTTTTATGTGCAAATATTAAGTCTTTTAATTCTTCCAGTTTTTTGTGTAAGCTTCTAATGTTCATATATAAAATGTTTTTTGAGCCATTTTTGTAGTATTTATATTTACTTTTATTATTTTATTTTACTGTATATCTTTTTATTTTATTGTATATCCTTTTCACTCCTTATTTTTATTTTTACGCATAAATATGCTGCCATTTAAAGAGTATACCGACTTATATTTTTTTCTAATTTTGCATTCTCTTGCCATTTTAAACAACTTTTGATTGTAAGTTGTTAAATCCTCGTTAAAATATATATTTTTCTTTCCTCCTTCTAATCCACATTCATCTAATTTTATTCCTTTTAGCTCCTTTACCTTCTTAATAATTTTAATCTTGCTTTCATACTTTTTAAACATGACCAATATAGGGGCAGTATCCTGTTTATTAATTCTGTAACAGTCGTTAATTTCGTTTTCTCCAGTATCTATTTCCATTTCCTGTATGATTTTTTCAATAATTTTTGTTGTATTTTCTTCTTTTTGTTTGGGAATGCCTGCTACTATTAGGTTATTTTGCTTTTATTTTTGTTCCTGTTTACTAACTTTCATTTCTAATACACTGATTTTTGATTTAAGTAGAACATTTTCTTCATTTAGTCTTTTTATTTCATCTATTGCCTCTTTAGTTGCAGCCTTTTGTTCTTCAAAAACATCGGACATGTATTGCACTGATTTTTTAAATTTCATCATTTCTGTGTCAATACTTTTTTTAATTGGTGTAAAGTATTTATTTAAAAGGCTTTCTAATATCGTCTTTTCTCTTTTCTCATCAATTTCCATAGTTGCCTCTTTTTCGGTTTTAACCTCACTCTTTTATTGCTTGCAACAAATTACTTTTTCCGTCTTATCAGTAACTTTTGGTTGAATCGCACAACTTTTGTGAAAGCTTGTGCCACAATTGACACAATCCAACGACAAAACTACTTTCTTTTTACAATGTTTGCAAATTTTCTTATTTTCTACTTTAGTGACTATACTCAAAGATAATACTATACTCGCCATAACATAACCTTAATTTTTAACAAAAGAAAATGCCAAACTTGTTTTTTTGCGGCTTTAATGGCACATGAAACAACAAAAACATCAAAAATGCATTTACATTTTGTTAGATTAGTTGTTTTATAAATTTAAATTATTTAACTTGCAACGAGTTAATTTTTCGATATCTGTTGTTTCTATTTTTGCCTTTGTTACCTGCCTTGGTTGGCTTTTTGGGTGCCTTTTTTAAATTTTTAAGTGCCTAAAAGTCCGCTCTCTACTTATGAATAACTTAATATGCACATATTTACCTTAATTCATTGTTTCTTAACTTGTTTAGTGTTGCGACAACATTGATTTAAATAATTATTTATAATTATTCTTATTTATAATTATTGGGAATTATCGAAAATTTTGTGAAATTTTAAATCTTGTCGATTACATCATTTTTGAGAATGACGGCAACAAAAACATCCACGAAATGGGAAAAGATTAATCACAAAACAAAATAAAATGTTGAGTGCAAAGATCCAAAGACCTGAACTTATAGAATTAGCCTTGTTATAATAAGGACTTATAAAAAACAAAAACGTTAACTGTTTTAACAAAAAAATCATATTAACGGAGGTGACGGTGATTATAGAAATAACTGTCATTTCCGTTAGACTTAACAGACTTACAAAAATTAAAAAAATTGCCATAAACTAAGATTTATATTGATTAAATTTTGTAAAATTTTAAATGTCAACAATAACTTAAACACGATTGCAATTGAGATTCACAACCAACTTGTTAAAGTATCGGCCAACAAAATTCTACAACAGAATTTTTATCTTGATATTTAGATAAGTTTTGGCTTATACTTATGAGAAAAAAGATTCTCGTCCATGGTGGCTTAAAAACTAAATATAAAGATCACCTAATATCATTGGAAAATAATTTTCTTATAAAGGCAATGATGTTTCACATAAGGAAAAACTTTTAAGTAAAGAAAGTCAACCGTCGCGAGGCGTCGCATTAAATTATTATTTCAATTAACTTTGGCTATTACTTATTTTATTATGATGTTATTAGATACCTGGTAATATTTAATTTTGTAACACTTGTTTTAAAAATAAAAATTATTTAATAAAAGCATAAATACGAAGTCCTATATTATAAACAAATTGCGACCCCCAGGTTAAAAAATGATGCCTCAAGGGATACTACAAATTGGGTCTAGACACTATATTTTTATCAATATTTAAAACGAGCCGAAACAGGATGTTAAAATAAATTATTCACTAACTTTGTAATTTAGTCCTTCTAAAGGTAAATTATGTTACAACAATATTGTAAAAACCTATTAAACAGATAATAATTTACTTACCATGCTGTCATCAAACTGATAATAATTACCAGATGGTGCTTGAGCCACAGCAGTATAATGTCCACAACTCACAGTAGGTCCCATATGAGTAACTAGAGCAACAAATCTATAAATTAATGGTATATTTGGGCGTTCTCTACTAAATTTCGACAAATCTAATCTGTTTTTGAAAGTAATATGTTTAGTTATTTTATTGTTGCTAACAGAAAATCTCTTAAGTTGTATACATAAAACCATCGGACTTCTTTCTAATAAAAATTGTTTGGTCGCAGGTACCTAAATAATAATGAATTAAAATTAAAAAACAAAAAATTCTATATTTACCTTTTTCTCACATGACTCACATTGATAAGATTCATCATCTAATTTTTCTCTTGAAAAATAGGTGTCTAAAGCCTCATCTAATGTCTGTGCTTTCCGTATATCCAATAATAAATCTTGGAAATGCTGAAAAGTGGTACTAATATGGCCACATTTTAAGCATCTGACAGTGGATCTTAAATACCCTCCAAGAATTTGATTTAGTGGTGTTGTTTCTTTTGTCTTTGAATCAAATTCATTATGATTTTTAAAACGACTTAAATAAGATTTTTCCATTGCCTCCACTAAATATCGCAAAAATTCATGAGCATCTTCCTGTCGACCAGGTATAAAATTTCTACACAAAAATCTAAGTTTATTATAAATTAATATTGGCCGAATTGCATTTGTATTGCGTTGTTGTGAATCATGTAATGTTTTTCTTATCGCACAAATAATACAAATAGTGCCTAAAGTGTAAAAAAATCAATGTATTTTATAACCAACATTGGACAAAAATAGCTTACCTGAGTCCTTGCATTCTAAGCTATGCTCTTTATCTGACATTAGCCAATTAACAAGGGCTGGTACATGAAATAACGCCTGTAATGTGGAATTTAAATAGCATGTATTCCCCATATTAATCATCCCAGCACCAATACCCCAGTCGCAATTATTCCATCCTAACTGTATTGCTTCTATTGGAAATAATTCGTGTTTTGCAACTTTTAGTGTTTCATTATTTGCTGTTTCCTTTTCCAATTTACTAAAACAACATTTTTCAGACCATAAGGTATATTTAAATACTAAACGTTTTTTATATCGTATTTATTTTTAATATTTATTTTTTTTGTATTTAAAATTATAATAATTTAAATATTAAATATGTTGTTTTAAGTGGTCTGAAAGGTAGAAACCCTTTATGTTTTTAAATGAACAGGATTACTTTTTATACTTTTAGAATCTCTTTTCAAAAAATTTAGAGCTAAACATTTGTTTGTATTAAGAGATGAAATTTTAAATATTTGATTTAACGCTAAGCTGACAACATTTAGGTGTTAAGGTCCGCGGCCGGCCGGTCGGTTTATTAGTGTCTGGTTAAATTCCAGTTAATTAATTTATTGTTTTGACCTTTACCTAATAAAACTACATTTCACTAGTATATAAATAAAATAAAAACCCACGAGTTTAACTTAAATTATCAATTGTTTTGCTAAAACAGTAGCTTCTTCAGAATTAATTTAAACTTAATGAAGCGGCTAAATGTATATTACAAATTATTGCAGGGAATGGAATATGGGTACAGTATAAAATATATACCTGTGAAAATTTATTTAAATTATGTAATTTTAAAAAAAACAAAAACTATATGGTAATTTACTATACAAGGCTTTCAATTTTAAACTAGCCAACCTTAATAACTTTTGAGTTATAGTCAATATGAACCTGAGCAAATACAGGTCGATTTAGATATCGAGGGGAAAGTACAAATCCAGTTTTAAACAAATTTTATGTTGCACCCTCTCACCTCCAGCTACCCTTACTAAAATATTTTAAATTGCACCCTATACTTTGCGCAAATTCTGATCCATTTAAGTAAAAAAAAATTAAAATCCGATCACAAATTCGCGAGTTAGAGCCAATTGGCTCTAATTGGCAATTTTTTTGGAATCACACCTTTTTTAAACAAGGTGTGATTCCATAAAAAAATGTTATTGGTTTCGTTACAATTTACCTTTAGCAGATTTGTTACACGTTTTAGTTAAAATATTTGTATTAATATATCAAAATACCTAAATATTAGAAAAATGGTGTATAGCAGAAGGAACCGAATTAATTTTTATTTGCGGATTTGATTCCTGTGCTCGTAGAACCGCACGCGTTTTTAATGAGAGGAATTCAGGCAAAAATGTAGGCCATCAAAACGTCACTAACCTGGTAAAAAAAAGTTAGGAAAACTACAGTGTGCAACAAAAAACACACAAGATCAAGTATACTGGATGAAGCAGCAGTTCTCGGTCCTTTTGCTGTGGGATCCACATACATTCCGAAAGTAGCTGCATTAACAAATATTTATGTTGGTTCCCCTTATAAGGTGCTAAAAATAAATATAAAAATAATATGCCAGCAACTCGGCAAAGATGACTACGACAGAAGAAACCAGTTTTGTGAGGAAATGACTTGAAAGAATTGCGGTTGCTCCCAATTTAAAAAACAATATTTGTTTCAGCGATTAATCTACTTTTTTTAATAGATTTGTAAATAAACAAAATTTGTAGGTACCGAGACAATGAAAATCCACATTTTTTTATAGGATCATACTCAAAAAATCAATGTATGAGCTGGTATTCTTGGCAACGAAATAATTGGACCACTTTTTATCGAAGAAAACTTGACTGGATAATTATATCTTGATCTTCTTGAGAATGTTATAGGCCCACTTATTACCCAGTCATTAGAAAATCAGATTGACGAACAAGGAAACATGTTGCTTGATGAAGGACATTTGTTCTTTCAACAGGATGGAGCTCCTCTTCACTATGCTTTACAGAGAATGGTTGAACCAAACATTTTCCAGAGAAATGGATCTCCAGATTTAACGACACTTGATATTTTTTCTTTGGGTCATTTAAAAACACAAGTCAACAAAACACCACCTGAGAACATTTAAAAACTCAACCAGAGAATAATTCAAGAATAAAGGCAGATAACTCCGAAACGTTACGTTTCAAATTGTTCGATAGGAGTATATTGTATTATTGTTTAGCAAATAACGGAGAAAATTTTAAACATTTAAATTTTTTTTTTTTAATATTTGTTTTATTTTTATTACACATTTTTGGCTCTAACAATTGAATTGGTAGGTGGCGCTGCAATCGGGCAGGACAACGTTCGGGCAGGACAACGTCTGTTGGGTCCGCTAGTAATTTATAAATTATTTTCTCTGTTCATTAATTCGGGTTTTGAAGTTAATACCGGTTTGTCATATATATGTTTTAGGACAATCAGCACAAGTTACTTGGTAAACTCCTAATTTTAAATATTTACTAGACTTATCTTTGTTATTTTTTACTGAACATACAATTGTTATTTGTATTCAACTTTAATATTAATTTTTTTGAAAAAAATTGACACCTGTCCCATTAGGGTGTTTCAAAATAAGGCAATACTTTTATTTTTTAAAATTCATGTTAAATTCTTGTCACTTATGCTAATTCTGTCAAAATTTGAGCTCTTAATATTAATTTTAAAAGGTCCATCATGGAATTTAAAGTTTACCCATTGATTTAACATGGAAAAATAGTTTTTTAAGATTTATTTTGCCTGCATTATTTACAAAAATTCTTACAGTGCAGTCTGTAGATTCAACTGTACTATCGCTAACAAAAAAAACTCATACAGCTATATTGTGGCTGTGTGAATAAAACTTTTCCGTCAATGTCAAGCTGTCATCGAGCTTTGTCACATCCATTATGACTTTTTTAACAACATTTTAAACCAAACAATGCAGACGAACTCTGGCAAGCCATTGAAGCCATTTGGAACGAGATAAAGCAAGACGGCGACTTCCATGCTTTGCCGTTTGCGGGCAGTAATTGACAAAAACAGAGGAATGACGAAATATTATTTTTTTTTTCAAACTTCAACCTAACTTTGTATTTAATTTTAGACCTTTCAAATGTGACGTATCATGTTAAAAGCCATAATTACTCCAACGAAATGATAGAAAATCAGGAACACTAGATTTTTAAGCTGTATGAGTTTTTTTTGTTAGCGATAGTATCTTTTTTATTACCGTTGAAACGAATAAATTATAAAAAAAATTGATATTTTTACATTTAGCGGCTAATTAGTAGTTTAAACTACTATTCGTAGAAGAAAAAGTCAATTGCTCTACTAAGTATAAAATTTTATTTGCAGTCAAAAGCTGGATCATTAAATTAAGAATATGATAAAAGTATATTTTAGCTTAAATTCAGCGATTAATTGAGCGTGTTCAAGAATCTTGGTACGTTATTTATAGAGCTTCGAGTTTCCTGCAAAATTGTCTCTAAACTTTTTTCCTACAGTTATAATAATGAAAATAGGATTTTAGACACTTATAACTTTTGAACTGTAGCCTACAGTCTGTAGGTGAAAAGATCTTCAAAATTGCTACTTAACTTTTTCTTCTACGATTAGTACTTTAGTACTAATGTAAAAATATCATTTTTTTTTAGAATTTATACGTTTCAACGTTAATTAAACTGGATCCTGTAAGATTTTTTGTAGATAATTTATTGCTAAAAAAGGACCAGTGATTGTTTATCAAAAAAAAAGTTCCATGTTAAATCAATGGGAAAACTTATTAAGAGCTCAAATTTTTTTAGCATAAGTGACGAGAATTTCACATGAATTTGAAACAAAAAAAATATTCCCTTATTTTGAAACACCCCACTGTCCCATATTAGTACCAAAATATGTGATATGTAAGGGAAAGATAAAAATACGACGTTTGAGCAATGCAAAGTGCATAAGTAAGAGAAATAGAAGATAGTTACGACACAGTGCGCCCCTGTGCAATTTAGGTGTTTTGGAAAGACCACCCAAATTTTGTTGTTGATGATATCACAATCCACATAACAAGGTCTGTTCTATCTCGTACTAAAAATACAAAAAATCACTGCAACACTGCACAGTTTAACGGCGGCCATTTTTGTTGTTTACAATTTTTGTGCTTTGGGTTTGTGCTCTGTTTACACAGATTAATCGTCTTAAACGTTGTGTTTCTCATAGTAAGCCTTAAAAGAGTCCTTAAAGTGCTAAGAACAACCATTTTACTCCTCTATTGTAAAAAATAAACTTTATTCTATCAGGGCTATCATAAAACTGTCAAATGTCAATTTTAAGGTTAAATTATAACCCACAAATGAACCTTCAAATTGTCATTTGACAGCCCTGTTGGAATATTTATTATAAAAGAGGAGTAAAATGGTTTTTCTTAGCACTTAAAGGCCCTATTTGAGGATTACAAGTGCCTCTGTAAGAAACACAACGTTTAAAACAATTATTAAACAGCACAAACCCAAAGCACAAGAATTGTAAACAACAAAAATGGCCGCCGTTAAACTCTGTGCAGTGTTGCAGTGATTTTTAGTATTTTTAGCATGAGATAGAACAGACCTCGTTGTGTGGATTGTGGATGATTGTATTTACCTTAATTACAAAAATGCCACAACCACCAATAATTAAATAACGTCAAATTGACATGCATTGTATCATTTTTTCCTTTTTTGTTACCTAATTTTTGTACGATAATTAATTACGGGTTTAGTTATTGTTGGTTTATGCAGTATTATACTATAATAATATACTATATTTATACTATTATACTATTATATTATATTATTATACTATTATAATAATAGTAATTTATTTTTCGTTGAAGTTTCAACAATTTCGAACGATTTTGTTTAATATTTTTAGAATGGGTGCCCATCCTACAAAGCGTTGTGATCATGAAGAAAATCGCAAGAAAGTTTGCGCAGCGTGTGGTTCTAAAATTAAATATGGAAAAATCAGCCCCACAAACTTTAAAGTTTCTGACGTGTTAGCTAAACATTAGGGTGGGCCGAAAATCCGCTTTTTTAGAATTTCGTTTAGTAATAGCAAAAATTTTGTTCATTATGTTGTAAAAAAATTTTGTGTAAAAGATTAAAATTTTCGATCAACATCCTAGGCTCGCCCAACGCAATTAAAGATCAAAATGTTCAAAAAAATTTTGAT